AATATTACATTAAAAATTTTATGAGTTAAATTAATAAGGATCTTTTTCAATGAAAAATAGTATAAGCCTCTTGGAAATATTTCAAAATCTTCTGTCAAAAGTATCGCTATTCATAAAGAAACTTTCTTTAAGACATAGTAATAATTCATTGACACCTTCATTACTAAATAATAGTAGCGTTCAAAGATCTATGAATTACATTAAAATATTTCGATTCTATACTTTAAGAATCCTTCGAATCAACAATATAAAATCCGTTTCAGATTTAATGCAAAAATAAAAAAAACTGCTAAAACCTACCGTAACTCATTCTACCTATATAATACTCCCGACAACTTTCCAAAAAGGTCCCACGAAGACCAACATTCGTTTGTAAATTTGCTCGCAAACTATTCCAACCGATCAAACGAATTTCCCAGCCCTCTCCCCCATCCACGAGATCCACGTTCGTTCCTTCATCCTAGCAGTGCGAGCAACAAGCTCCCATTGAGCTGTCAGACAGAGGAGACAGCAGGCGCAAATCGAATAAGCTCGCGTAACTCTGTAAAATGCCAGTATAAAGTGGAAAGTGGAGCCCCCGAGACCTCAAGCACGTACGTTAAAGCTCCAAAGCTCGGGTGTAAACGCGCAACAGAAGCAGCGCAGGGACTCGGAAGCCGGTTTTGCCGTCGCGGAAGTCGCTCCCGCTTCCGGGACCGTTGGCCCCCCGGCAATGGGGCCGGTCACGCTGGCACTGCCATGTCGCCTCCCCTCCCCAAACCCCGCCCCCCCCCCCGCCCTCCCTTAACCCGCCCCAGCCGCTCTCCCCGCCGCCGCCCCCCGTCCCGCAGAGCGCAGATTTATACCCACTCGAGGCGCACGTGCCGACGGCGACGGTCCGCTCGTAAAACAATGGGGCCGGCGCGCGTGACGCGTCAGGTAGAGCGTGAAACGCGCCGAGGGTCCACGGCCCAACATGAGAAGGACGAGGGTCGTGTTATGCACTTTAGCTCGCCGAGTGTATTATGTTGGACGCTCGAGCGTATGGACATTGTACGTGTGCGCGTGTACCCTGATAATAACTTATCGATCTAATGGCTCAATTACAGTTTCTTTTGTTTGGTTGACGAGGGTAGTTGTGTGGGCGGTAGGCCAGGGCGGGCCGAGGCGGGGAGGGGCGGTCAGATTGCTATTTTCTCTTTCAAAACGCATTTTAAAACTATTAAAGCCTCGTTTACTACTTCCAGATTTCTACAGTTCGGCATTGGACCTCGAATTTCCTTGGATATGCTGCTGCGCGATAGCCCCTTGTCTCCTTTCACGCGAGAATCTTCATTATTAACATAACAATTATTATTGCTACTATTATCATTATTGTCACCGCAATCATCATCATCATCATCATCATCATCATCATCATCATCATCATCATCATCATCATTATTATTATTATTATTATTAATTTTAATAATGGCGTATACGTTACATTTTTCATCTACACGTATTGATACTTAATTGGAGATTAGATGTCGCTCGATAATATTTATAAACCACGTAAACATATAATTAGCGTAAATAATGATTAAACTGAAGATAAAGCACTTGGACGTGTACGCGAACTATGTATAATACATCGAGTGAGCTTGTTAAGTAGCTTGCAAGAATTGTGCGATGTCGTGATTGGTCTTCTCGTACATTTACTTTAGCAGCGAAAAGTTAATTTTTACGAGAAAACAACTTCCTTTTCTTTAGCAAATCAATTCTTTTGTACGTTATAAGAAAAAGAAAGACGTACACATAGAGGAAAATACGAGTTCCGACAGATGCCGAGCATAAGTAGCAGTTGGTGTTCGCTATGTTAAACAATTCGATTTACCGTGGTTGATTGGAGCAAAGGACAAGCTAGAGATAGACTGAGCGTGTGTGTTTGTATGTGTGTGTGCATGCTAGCATGCGTGCTAGCTTGCGTGCGTGTGCGCGCGTGGTTGGGTATTGGGTAGGCGAGAGGGGAAAAGGGAAGAGAGGGATGAGTTAGAAAGCGAAAAATAAGGGTAGAAAGGGCCGGAGATATACGGAATTCAGAGTTCTAGTATGGGGTTGGCTGCAATCAGCGTAGCCGCGGGGTTTATTTTTCGCCTTTACACGTCATCTTCCCTCTCTCTCTCTCTCTCTCTCTCTCTCTCTTTCTCTCTTTTTTTTCTTTTCTTATACCGTCGTTCTTTTGTCGATCCATACGTCACTTTGTGCATTTCGTCGTGATTTTCTTTCCAAAGCTTTTAATCTTTAAGAAATAGTAAACTGATAGATAGGCATGCCTCGATAAACTCAAATGTGCATATTTCTTTGATCGTGTGAGCAATTTTTAAAGAAATTTTACGTTTATATAATATCAATTATTAGGTAATCCATATGTTATTATTAATTCTTTTATCGCTCTCTTTATGAGTACATAATTTTTTGTCGCTAGTAATAATAATAATAATAATAATAATAATAATAATAATAATAATAGTTATATGTAACTAAAATTATTAATTTCATAACATGAAAATAATTATTTGCCACGATACAATGTTTAAAGAGAAACTTTCTCCGCTTAATTACATGGAGATGCATATTAAACTATCCCAATAATGATGATTTTAATTATAAATTAAGAGTTTTATATCGTAAGACAAGTCATAGGACTCTCGATTCGTAAATTATGCTCGATCATAAGAGAACGAAGTAGGACTTGACAACAGCAATAAAAGCGCTAATTCATGCCCACTTACTCGTAACAATGCTCCGATGTACTTGGAATAATAAAGAATTCAGCATTTTTAAGAAATATTTCATATTGCCATCTGATAGAATAAAAATGGAAAAAACTGTGCTCTTTACTGCTAGAACGAATAGACATAAAGGATCGTATATAAGACGCTCCTCAATTACGCCTCGAGTACTTGAATTTAATCGGTATGATTGTCTTACATTACGCATATCGTAAATAACCAATGCGTGCGTGCGAAACCGTTTGAAAAGCCGTAAACCGCGAAATCATTGACAGAGGGCGCAATCGAAAAGCCACCGCCAGTGAGCAGAATTCGATGAGAAGGACGTGAGCAGCTAATTGCCGAGACAGGCTTAGTGTATAAGCAACCGACGTAGAATTATAGTCGTCGAAGGCCTTGTGTGACTTCGTGCATGGCTACGTGCTATCGCACAGCCACTCAGCTAACCACCACCCGACTACACCCACGCCGGTGGCAAAGCGGCAGTTTGCGCATTCACGAGCAATTACGCGAGGTGGGGTAATCCCGTTAGACCGGCGACCGGGGCTCCAGCCTCCTCTCACGAGACAAGGGTCCGCGAGAGGATCAAAGAGCCCAAGATTACGCGTCGACGAGCCGCTATTCGCAGTGACACTCGTGCGACACTTCTCGGCTCTCGTGGCCGACAACGAGTCGCGCCCGACTCCCACGAGCGTCACGTGACTGATGCTGTCTTCTTACCTCGGCGTCTCCCTTTGAACTTCTTACAGAACAATTCACAGCGCTCGTCCGGCTGCATCAAGTTCGTTCGCGCCCCCACAGTTCTCCCGAATCTTATTTTCCAACAACATTTGAGTTAGGATAAATCACAGCCTTAGAAGTTTCATCTTGAGCTCGTTGGCTTACAATGCCAAGATAAACCCTAATCGCATTGATTTTGTTGAAATAACGCGTTTTTTCTATCATTCAACTCCTTCCATTAGTCGCTTTATTAAGTATTAAATTTTTAAAAAAAAAAAAAAAAAAAAAAAAAAAGCGTAGTCTTTATTATGGGAACAAACATCTATAAATTCTAAAATCTACAGTATTTAAAAAGATTTTCGAAATTCTATTAGATCCGTCATAAAGACAATTGTTGAAATTTATTATAAAGTCCCCTATTCAAGCCAATTTAAAAAAAAAACATTTTATTTTCCGATTTCACAGCAGTATTTATTACAAAACTTAATACATTTATTATTATTTTAATAATTTTTAATAACAATGCTGATAAGAACTGAATTCGTTTGATTAAGTTCTATTAGATACTTCGATGAATATAACGCATTGTAGGCATTAAAAAAAAATAAGATACGAGGAATTTTATTGTAAAATTTTGGCGCATCCGGTCGACTAGTCATAAAAGATTGTTTAAAAAGTTCGCGCAATCTTAAAGCTAAATTGCTTCGTATATTCAAAACTTTGCCAAATAGTGAAAAGATAAGCTTTTGAAAATTCATCCGCGTTGAGTGATATACGTCTGCTGCTTGGATTCGTGTTTGCCTACACGGAAATCCTCTCTAACGGATTCTGCCGCTCGAGCGAGTTTCCGGGCGTGCTTTTTCTCATTTTCGCCGAGGCTAGGGAGAGTCGATCGCGTTCGGCAGCTGCCTATCTACTACGTATACGTAACCGCTTGACCCACGAACGAGCGCCAGTTACTATTTCATTTCGAAATCACGGGAGCGAGAAGTCAAGAAGATTTCGTAGATGCCAAGTATCTAAATGCGAACTGTTAAAATAAGTTGCTTCTCGTTCAAAGCGAACTCGAGTCACTTTCCGATGGATTCCGCAGCACTAAGCTCGAGTGAAATGTCCCTTAAAGCGTCAACGGGTTAAAAAAAAAATACACGCGCGCGCGCGCACACACACACACACACATATATATATATATATATAGTGTACCAAAGCACGATCGATAATGCAGGGACTCGTCAGAATTTATATCACTGCTTTGCCCCTATTGAAATTCTGCTTTAGCCATTCCTGTAGAATTATTTCACGAGAAATGGGAAGACGAGCAGCATTTGATCGCGTTTTTTATAAAATCCAAAAATCTTATATGCCTTCTCCTACTAACTTGCCACTCCTGTACTCCCCGTTATCCAATTAAATAATGTTCAACTTGTCTTCGTTAATACGCCCTTCGACTTGCATCGATATAACAATAAACAACACAATATGGTAAAATAAGGAGAATTCTGAATTGTTATTCTCTTGTGATTTCAGGGTACGGCAGCAGCCTATCGAAATCAGCACTGGATTCACACTCGCATCTTAGGCAACCTGGTACGTAGTAGGTAGTCTTTCTTTTCCGAGGGTCCGAGCGAATGGCTTGATCCTTGAGCCAGACGATGGGATAAGGAAGGCCGCGCACTTTCCGATAACTTCACTCTAGCCGACAAGAGAGCACGAGTCCAAATAAATTGTCCTTTAGCCCTCAAAAGCTTAAATAATACGATGACACGTTAAGTCACAGGGACATACGTCCGATAAATTAATCGCTCTATTAATTATAAAAGACGACTTTTTTGTCACGGCACTTGTTGCGCGCACGCGCTCCGTTTTTCTATATCTGCGGAGCAATTGCATTTATAGGTGAGCTAGAAGAGATTATGCGGCTGAAAATTAAAAGTAAAAACTAATTTACATCGGTCTCCCATTGCCGGTAGCGCGGGCCACTCCACGGCTCAGCCTAAAAGAAATACTCAACTGCCCGCTCGTTATTTCCATTCCGATAGATCCCTATCGACTGCATTCGATCGATCATTATCTAGGAAACCGAATGCCACGTCGAGGGTACACAAACGACGCGCTAAATACTCGCACCCCACTAATCCGGATCCAACAAGGAGATAGACTGCGCGCCAAATAAGTGAATAAATGGGGGCAGCGAGGAGCGACCACCCCGCCCACCACCCCGGCAAATTCCATCAATCGACCCTGGGAAATGCGAGATGGTCGCGTGAGCACTACCGCGGCCCGATTATTAGCGAGCATCGGCCGTTTAGAACGCGGATGAATGCTAATCGACCGACCGGCCTGATTTCTCCGGTGCCCTCGCCACGCCCAAAAATTGCTCCTTCGGTGCGCGAACTTCGCTTCGCGCCGACGTATTTCCATTGACTTTCGGGGTACCGGCAGAAGGGACTCGGCTACGCCGTCAACAACATTATTATTAATCTCGCTCGCGAAAGTTCGAGACGAAGAGCTATTCGAGTGGCTCGGACACTGGCATTTGCCGGCACCGAGGATTTCTTCTTATCCAGATAAACGAGTGCTAAGTTATATATGCCTGCTGAAAATTATTCCAATATCGAGTCGAATTACAAAAAGTAACCAATCCAACATTGGTGATCGAATTAGCAAATTTTTTTTTATTTACACCGAGATGTTTTTTTAATTCGCCACTTATGGTTTATGCTGCCCGGACCATAGCCTCCTACATTACTTCGTAGTATCGCAATTTTCGGCCATTTCCAATAATTGCCGTAGTAAATATCGTTTATCTCGATTTTGTGCAATTTTCTAAGTACAAACTGTAGTCTGCGGTTACGTGCTACCAAATTACTTTTGCATTTCGCCAATAAAACTTATTCCTATGCGTCAACTCCAATAATTAATATATTTGCCTAGCCTGATTACACATTAGGTAGTCCATTGTAATTGCGTAATTCAACAAATAAATGTATTATTTACGGATTTATACTGCGCGTTTTGCCATCTATGAGTGTCATTCCTAATTTATAGCCGTCTCATGCTCGATGCATTTTTCCTATCTACGCGCGTATAATTATTACTCGTCTTAGCAGAGTTTCGTTCGCTTAAATCGCACTTCGTAAAATTCAATTTAATTATTATTTACTTCGATTTATTTAATACGTAAAATGATGAAATTTATGTAACATTAAAATTTATTCGCTCGCGTATTAAATTCCAATTAAATTCAAATATTCACGTAATATCTCAACTATTGAGCATTATATCAATATATATAGTTTTCTGCAAAATCTTATATTATGTATAAACCCATTAACTTTTTGTATGCATGTTTTTGTATTTTAATATGATTGAACGTCAGCGCGTTAAAGAATTAATGACCATATGTCAATTTCACATAATCACTACGTATCGTATTATTAAAGAGTAATTGTTAAATGTTATTATAATTACATGAATTATTTTACAATCCATAGTACTTTTACGCTTTATCAAATAATAAATAATAAACGAATCTTGTATAAACAAAATTAAGGCAGTTTACTTGACGGCACGGCGTTACACGCAACCTCCGAGAAAAAGAGACCTTTAGAGAGAGAGAGAGAGAGAGAGAGAGAGAGAGAAGAAAAACAGAAAAAGGCATGTACAATATATGTGTATATATATATATAGGAAAATGAAAACAATAGGAATGACGCAACCAAAATGAAAGCCACGTCAATTAAAAGTTTGAACATTGTTTACGAACTATCGACGTTCTCGGAGATTCGCATAGCCATTTGCAGCTCATCGTGTTCCCTGTGCGCTAGTAGATAAATGGGTGTACCGCGCCCCTCGCCCATTATTAACTCGTAAGTGAATTACCGTTCGATCGAAAGGCGATCACTGGGCGCATTCATACAGGGAACTCATCCGACGAAGCGACCTTTGAGGTCCGGCCATTCGACCGTAGAGCAAGAAAGTGAGAGAGAGAGAGAGAGAATGGGAGTGCGTGTGAGACAGTCGGCGACGATACAAGGGATGAAAAGAAAAGGATAGCAAGAGGTCAAAAGCCTACGAAACCCATCGAACAAATGTAGGGAGAAACGAACTAATGCTGCTGCCAATTGGATTTTGTTTTATTTGTTTCATATTATTATTTCTTTTTTTTTTTCTTTTTTTTTTTAAATTAGCAACACCCTTATTGGATACTAACGATGCAAAAAGTAACGACATGCCTTTTCTTTATACAAAACTAATAACTTGACACAATTTAAAAAAAATAAATAGTGCATTGCTCGGTTAACTAATCATTTACTAGACTATTTGCCAACAAAAAATGGCATCATTAAATAAAATTTCATTTCAAAGTAATCTCGAAAAATATACAATAATGAATATAAAAGATATGTTAAAATATGGATATAAAATTGAATTGTTTATTTAGTTGAGAGTCTTGTGTTAGAGGCCTTATTCAGTCCTTAATTTTTATCCTTTGATTGTCTGTACTTTAGATGTCGTAAATGTACGTAAAATTAAAATAACTCCAATTAAATTTGCCAGTCATTATTCTACATAAATATGTAAAATCATACTAAACTAATACTTGTAGCTAATTATCTTAAGACCATTTTCTATTTGATTTTCGAGATTTTTGTCAAGTTAATGACACAATCGTATCTTTTTACTTTTTACTTATGTAAAAACATGTGTGTTGATCTTATACTAAACTATAGATAAATTCATGAATTATGTACAAACGTGTAAAAAATTTTGTTTTTTAATATACATACTTTATGCATTAAGGAGAAAAAAGGACAAAATTTTTGTCTCGAATTATTTATTTATTTTTATTTTTTTTTTTTTAAATTAAATATACCATCCGTTTACTAAAGTTTAACATAAGTGTAATATCGAAAATTTCATTTAATTAACATTAAGTGGATAAATTCGTGTATCATTTTGTGGCAATATTAGATTAATATTCGTCCGAAGCGTTATAAACCAAGACACGACATTGCTTTAAGCGAAGAGAATGGTGAAGGAGAGGGTAAAGTAGCGAAAATGCGCACCCTGCCTTTCCCCGAGCAATCATAATCGCTTAGAAATGCGCTTCTCAGCGAATTGCCACTGATTTCAGGCTTCTTTCCCTCTCTTCGTCGTCATCGTCTTCTTTGTCATAGAAGTCCATTTATCCAGCATGGACGAGTCGAGAGTGAGTAAAAAATCCCCACGCCACGCTTGATGGCACTTTTTTACGAGTCCTTTGAATCTGAATCATAAGGATACAGCATGACAGTTACAGAAGGCATTGGCTTTTCATAATCACGTTAAAGCCAATAATATATTTTTTCGCTCAACCAAGGTATATCGCTGACTTCTGATTTACTACTTAATTGCGTATTACCGTCTAAAAAAATTCCAATCTTTATCCGATAGAAAATAATTTCAATATACAACGGATTTGTTTGACTCTGACGATCTAATGTCTCTGCTTTAAAGCTTCTGGCATCTAGCATTTCCAACTAAAACGTGCCAAACTGAGAAATAAATATTAATGTAATATTTGATGGAATTAATGGATTGCTTCTCGTGTTCAACGATTCCTCGATGGTTTATTTACGATAATATTTTTATTAATATTGAACCTATGAAAATATTAATTAATACCTCTGATATATCGTGCCTTACAACTTATTTACATGAGCAATTAAAATTAATAATACAGATAATGAAAGATCGTTCATTATTATTATTATTTATAATATTTCATCGAGTAGATAGTAAAATTTATCCTTATTTATAACATTATAATTTCCGGTACATTCAATGGGAAGATTATTAAAATACAAACTATTATAATTAATCATATTGACTTATTGATAACGTATTTTTGATGTGTATGAACATAAAATTACTATTAACGAAATGGAAAAATTTTTAATTGATTGAAAATTCATTATTGTATATTGAATTTCTTATTCATTGCCATTTCATTTGTTTCGATAACTTTATATTTCGCCATCGACTACCACCAATGCATAAATCCATTAATTGGATAATATTTACAAAAAAGAAAAAAAAAATAGTTCTTTAATTGTATAAAATATAGTATAAAATAAGTGTAATTCCATTCGAAAATTGCTTGAATTACAATATTAAGTGATGAAAATCCATAAAGTACTAACGATCAATAGTTCATAGCAATAAATTAAGAAAGAATATGAAATTGTATTTACAACGAAAGACGCATTACATTTTATTATATTTGATTTAATTTGCAACATAACACTCGATATCTTAACAGAACATGAAATTTTTCTTACCACATTTCTGGAATATATAAGTATATTATAAATCACTGGAAAACCTGCAATTAAATTCCCAGACTTTGATTATCCGATACAATAAAACAGCCAAGTGCTCATCTTAAATAGTAGCTTTCGATATTTACTTCCTATAGACAAAATAAAAAGATTGTAAAAATGTAGCCCCGGCCACTCATGTTCGCTGCTCTTCCTTCCTTCACAGCTGTAAACTCCAACTTTCTTCGTAGTATACCTATTTATTACACGCTCGTTTCTCTCTTTGACTAGCGAGAGCAAGTGCAGTCTCTCCCCGTATATCGTCGTACTAGTCAACATCCCCTTAAAAGGCTTTACAATGCGTCATCACCGTCAGCGCGCGACTTGAAGTGTCCTCTCGCTCCTCTCTCTCTCTCTCTCTCTCTCTCTCTCTCTCTCTCTCTATCTCTCTCTATCTATCTATCTCTGTCTCTACATATCTCTATATATCTCTATATATCTACGTATCTCACTCACTCACCGTACAAAGGATATAATCGCAGCAACCCTACAATAGAATAGGAGTTCGTTTGGATCACAATAATTTTCAAGCTCCTCCAGCTCCACTTTTTTTTCGCTTCGAACGAAACGCTAAATACCATACTGGAACATAAGCCTGTCTACGTTGATCACTCGCGCCTTGATTGCAAGCTCGTCTTGCTTGATCACGAGTGGTGATGTATAGCTGCTAATTTTTTACGAACAAAAAACGATTGTTTGAATTAGTACGACTTTCCTACACACAAAGTCTACGGAGCTTTTTTATCCACCGTTCAACTTGCTCTGTTCCCCCTCCCCTCTCTCTCTCTCTCTCCTTAAGAATAGATGAACACGCATTGGACAATTTTTCCATTGGTATTTCTCATTTCGTTGTAAATTTAACAATGTATATGTAATTTCTTTGCCGGAGAGTATTCGTAAATTATTGTTCCACTCAATAATTAATTAATGATTAATTTATTTTAGTTTGTATATCGGTAAATTAATTTGACAAAGCCTGGTAGAATAATTTTTTGTAATTTCAATTCAATTGGATAATAATGTTATTTATTATAAAACGATGCTTTGATAGATAATAATTCGCAAATTTGAAATTGCAAACAACTACCTATGCTCGAGTAAAATATATCTATGTTTTATTTTTCTATTTTCTCTTTCTTCTTACTTTTTCTTCTTTTTTTCTTCTTTTTTTTTTCTTTTTACCATTGTGTTATTAATAACGTCATAAAGTAAAATTTTACAATAGAAGCAACTAATACTTTTACTTAAAATTTCGTTAAATTGGAGCTGGTAATTGCGTACTTCCCATTGTATCTTGACGTCTACACGTCAAACACAATACGCGAAATCCCATTAACAATCTGGCTTCGGTGTAAAACGCAGATGCATGCAATTAAAAATGCCAAAAATCTAAATTAAGCGCCAGTAGAGAATTAAGTGAAAGGGGAAAAAAGAATAAAAGGAATGGCATTGAACGTAAGTATCTAGGTAAAGATCGAGGGCCCTCGCGAGCAAAATACTTCCCGTCGCGCTAAAGAGACGTTTTTCGGCTCGTTTCTCCAATCTCCACTCAAGTTCACCGCTTTTCCTTCTCTTACTGCAGATCCGTATCAGATGTTCGGGGCGACGAGCAGCCGACTGGCGAGCTCGGGCTCCGGACAAATTCAGCTCTGGCAGTTCCTGCTGGAACTGCTCTCGGACTCGAGCAATGCCGCCTGCATCACGTGGGAGGGCACGAACGGCGAGTTCAAGCTGACCGACCCGGACGAGGTGGCAAGGCGATGGGGCGAGAGGAAGTCCAAACCCAACATGAACTACGACAAACTATCAAGAGCGTTGAGGTGAGGCTTTTCGTCGATGTGCCATTATACGTAACGCGATAAAATGATAAAATTATCGAGAGAGATAGAAATCAATCGACTGATTCAGCGTTTCAATTGATAATCAACTGTTTTGTACCGAGTGCAAGCGAAATAAAATTGTCTCTTCTTTCGAGGATGCACGCGTCTCAAAATTCTTAAAATTTCAGTCGCCTTTGTATTCTTCTACACAGGCTTACTCTATTTAAACGAACGAAATGCAAAACTCATGACTTATATAATATATGACTTTGTACAACATTTGACTGGTAAAATATAACTTCTTAGATTTCTAATAAATCGAAAGTTACATTTATGAAAATACTTGTACTCAAATGTCAAGAAAATGATTACTTGGCAACGGATTAATTTTAATAGGAATGCTCGTCTTCCACGCTTTCCATAAATCGAATTGGCAAATAAAAAAATATCGAAAATTGCTTGCTAAATGACGATAGAGAAGAAAAAAAGATGGGCTACATCATCGTGTAATAATAAGAACAGTTTTTGCGTGAAATATATGATGGGCGGGTCGTTGAGATGCAATACTACAGGAGTTGAGCTATTCGTCCAACGAACGAGCGTCTACCTACGTAACAGAGAGTGAGAGAGTGAGAGAGTGAGAGAGTGAGAGAGTGAGAGAGAGAGAGAGAGAGAGAGAGAAATTTCAATCATCAAATTCTATGTCGAGACGAGCAGATCCGGCCTAGCAAAAAGTGATGGAGAAAAAGATGCGGGGTGAGACGAGAGAGGAAAGGAGGAAACGGAGACACGTCTATTATTTTTCGATCAGATTCCCTGATTGAGTTATCGACGTTACTAGTGCAGCCTCGCTCTCTCCACGTCGTATTCCTCGATAATCACTCTTTTCCCAGATCCGCGAGGTCGAATCTTGTTTAAAAATAACGTGGCAATCGTCGCAACGCCTGCCCTAATCGAATTCGAGCTCCGAACTAATAAATGCCGAAAATTTGTCGCCCTGCAAGTTGCCTTATGAAAATTTTTAACCCTACGTTTATATCGCGAGTAATTCAACTTAATTCACTAACTTTGGCTACAGGCAGGGACTTTGACAAGTGTCTCGCTACCTTTCGAATCATCGACTGCCAAACCTCAATTGTTAGTCTTATTTTCTCTGATACGGATTCTGAAATTGGACTATAAGCCATCCAGGGACAAATTAACAATCATCTTTTTAAATTTAAAATGCTGTATGAAATAATTTTTACATAAAAAAAAAAGAATAAGAAGAAGAAGAGCTTTTATATCGAGCGAGTTTTTAGATCAGCCAAATATCGATATTTGTAAATATAAATTTGTTCTAATTATCACAAACTATACGTATTCCTCGTACAGGCAGAGATAATTGGTTTATTTAAAATTTCGCGAAAAATGTGTCCCTACATTGGGAATAAAATTTTTTCACTTTCTACAAAACTACTTATCTCAAATAATGTAATAAATCAGGCATGCCTTTCGGGATTAAATTTAAAAAAAAAATATTCCATTTTATAAATACATTCGCGATTCATGCTGTTGATTAAGTTTAGTGTGTGTGTGTGTGTGTGTGTATGTGTGAGAGAGAGAGAGAGAGAGAGAGTGATTGATAAAGCAGCGACCCTGTCGTATTTTCTGTTTCAGGTACTACTACGACAAGAACATCATGACAAAGGTCCACGGCAAGAGGTACGCATACAAATTCGACTTCCAGGGCCTAGCGGCGGCGACGCAACCCGCGGCCGCCGATCCAGCAGCTTATAAGTACCAGAGTGAGCTCTTCATGTCCGGATACGGGCACGCGAAGCTGAACCTCATGCCGCCCCCGGCAGCCTCGGTCTCGGTCTCCGTGCCCGGGGGCCTTTTCCAGTCGGCCTCGAGCTACTGGTCGACGAGCCCCGGCGCCAACCTTTACGCCGGTCACCACACGGCCTCCGGCCACGTGCCGCCCCATCTCGGCAGTTACCCCCACTATGCATGACCCGGTGCCGAGCACTGGGGCGCCCTCGGTACTCCCCGCTGAGCTACCGCGAGGTTCGCCCGGGAGACTCGTCGCCTCGGACGTGCGCCAGCCCCGACTCCTGCCCGTCGCGACGCGACCCCCGCTCACGGCTCGGAG